CAGCGGTAGCGTAGCGACTGGTAGGACCCCCTTGGAGCTCTAGGTACCAGACGAGGAAAGTACCACGGTTTAAAGTTTTTAACAACAACCAGTATTGTTGTAAAATTATTCACACTGCATAATAAAAGATTGAGCAAAAATTTCCTCGTATACTGTCAAATATTTACCATAAGCCTATGTGCATTGTAATTCTAAACAAATACTTTAATGAAATTGTAACTAACGAAAAACAACTGATATTGTTAAGCGACAAATTAATTCACAAAGAATCGATATAAACAAGAATACTTAAAGCAGAGGTTATATTTATTTTAGATAAATTTATCTAACTTACTGTGTTAGAAAAGAACAGCTAAAATACATGGTATATCTGATACATTAAACTGTGCATACACTTCTCACACACACAGCATGGAGGAAATTAACAACACGGATTTATCATTCTTCTTAGGTCAAAGTTGTTGACAATAAAGGACGCATGGTTCCCATGGGAACTCCTGGAGAGCTATGGGTACGAGGCTACAATGTAATGTTGAAATACTGGGATGATGAAGAGAAGACACGTCAGTTCATTAGTCCAGACGGATGGGCGAAAACCGGGTACGAACTGTGTCTGTGTAAATATAATGTAGTCTGTAACTGAGCGCCCTCTTGTCCAAATGCACGGCACTACGGAATATCACTTCCCACAAGATCACAGTACCAGAGACAAACCTCCGAAAAATTCTCTAAGTTAGCAAATAGTAATTATAATCACCAGCAAATGCGCGAACATCGAAAACTTAAAAGTTTAGATCAAAATAGTCCAGTCATGTTCAATTATACGTATGTTGGAATTTGTGCCATATATTGGAAAGAAGAAAGTGCACTATAATGTATATTACAAAACAGGATTGGAAACCTGTACACGTAGTAAATTATACATAGTTCATAAATCAGTTATTTTTTAAATATATATATATTGACGTGCCTCATTGATCTGAACACTTGCTCCCAGTATTAGTTACTGTCATACATCCATTTTAATATTATCATCCCATCTACGTACATGTCTTCCGAGTGCCCCCTTCTCTTAAGGTTTTCCAACCAAAATGTTTTGTGCATTTCTCGTCTCCCAATGGGCACAGGCGCTGAGGAAGTGTTTGTAAAATATGTGTATTCCAAACTATACTTGAGAAGGTTGGTCCATCAATTTGATTAAACGGTTTGCAACAGTTTCCTGTACTCCCGAGATTATAAATGTCAACTGAAGGCTTAATATGCACTCAGGGACCACTTTGTGCTGCATGAAGACGGATATGGTCGACTGGTCGGTCGAATCAAGGACGTGATCATAAGAATTGGAGACAAGATCTTCCCGAAAGAGGTTGAAGATTTCTTCGTTGGACACCCTGATATTCTTGAAGCAGAGGTGAAATCGATATGTGCAATAATGAAATAATCTTCTCTATTGCGAAGAGTATTCTTTGAGAAGTTGGTAGAAATTCATCTTGACAATATATTTTCTTTTCAAAAACATGAGATTCATCGTCACGTTGTGACGCTCCTCGATGCCTGACTGTCCTTATCGTTCGTTCTTATAAATAATCTGCTCAGCATCTGATATAAAAGTTTCCCATTTTGTGTTATTCCTTCTGAACAGTAAATCAGTTTTAAAATCCATATAAAATAACAGGTAAAATGACAGTTTTTATTCGAAATTTTAATTCTCTAGAGACGGCAGGAAAAATTAAAAGTTTCTGAAGTGAAGAGATTTTTGTATCTTTCTGCCTGCTCGGAGCATACTTCCAAATTAAACCTGAGATACTGCATATCTCATACGGCTTTGTGTTTGTATGCGTTTGATATCAATTTATAATCTTACTAATGTCTACGTTTCTTCCTTCTTCACTGTTGAACTGGGAGTCTTGTGATAAGGAAATGATAAAGGAAGAGGGATTGAGATACCAAAGAAATAATTCACCGTTGACTTTGAACGGAATGTTTACAATAGGAAATATTAGCGCCAGAACTATTGCTATAACTTTTTATTTGGTGATGGTCTGCGATGACGTAGCGTTCATGGTAAAATCTCGAAAGTCAAATAACAGACACATTCGTGGTAAAGTATAAAGCAAAGATCGACTAAAGGTGCATTCTTAAATTGTAATTTAGTATTTTGAAAGTTTGTTTAGTATTTTTGGGTATGTCTGTGCGTGTCCATAGTAATAACTATCCATTCATATACTGAGTGCAAATTTAAAATATTTAGCCCGTCCTCAAGTTTGTAGACATAAGAAAGATAAGAAGATCTTAAAATTATTCATTGTCAGGAATTTTTCCATCGTCTGTTTTTTAAAACCACGACGTTTCGAAGGCTGGTTCTGTCTCCGTCTTCAGGTGAGAGGTACCTACTCTGTTGGGCCCCTTAGATAGAGCTATTCTCTGTGGACAGAAACAGACGATGGAAAAAGTCCTGACAATGAATAATTTTAAGTGTAAACTACCGTCATCAAAACCATTTAGAATGGAATAAGAAGATCTGACCTAGTTATAATTTAAATCCAAGTAATATGCAAACAGAGATAGCCTTCATTTTATTTACAATTCTTACCAGTTTTACACAGACAAAAATTAGGCATGTTGTTAATTAAAGGATTTTTTCTGAGTTCAATTTCTGCCCGGGACATATCTGCAGGTAAACGTTTAATAGTTAATTATACGATAAAAGACTATTTATTATGTCCAATGCAGGCGTTCGGTGTACCGGACCCTAAAGTCGGGGAGGAAATCTGTGTCTTCCTACGGCTAAGAGTAGGTGTAACCCTCACCGAGCAGGAAGTCAGAGACTACTGTAAGGATAAGGTGAGTTCACCTTGACTTTTCATTTGTTCCAAATAGGAAGTGGTCCAGAGTTATAGACCATAATATGGTCTTAATTTTGCTATGTAACTTGAGATTTTGCTGATAAATTTCGTAAGTTAGAAATCGAACTTCGGGACCTTTTACAGTTGGAAAGATCTACAGTTTCAAAGACTTTTATTAATCTGGACTCAAAATAAAACAATCAGCTTAAAGTAGTCGATTAATTTTAGAAGTGAAATATTCACAAGACAGTCAGATGGTTACAACCTCCGCATTATAACTTTATCTTGCAGATTGCTGAGTACAGAATACCGCGGTACATTAGGTTCGTGAAGGAATTCCAGAGGACCGTAATCGGCAAAGTGCAGAAGTTTCGTCTGCTGGAGAAACTACAGGAAGAAATACACGTAATACAAAACTGATAAAATTAGTAGGATTTCTGGTTTTTACAGAGGAGGATCTACAGTAGCAAATCAGAGAAACATAATAGAATAGAACTTTTTTGTGTAAATTGTGGAAAACAATTACCAAAAACAGAAGGGAAACTGTTTATCCATTAAGATCAGACTATGATGTGCTGGTTGTTCGACGACGCATCTGAATGGGCATGAACTCTTCACATGTTGAATATGTTGCTTTTAATTTTACATTCGTAATTTTTATAGAATTTCCTCAAAGTTTCTCTGCCTTAAAAAACAGTATGTTAAAATACTTTCATCATTTACTTCTACATATGTTCTTTTAATTTTTAAACTAAGTACTTTTAATGGGTTGTGACATGACGTCTATTAAACTCTTTAAATCAATTGCCTAAAACATATTTTAAAAAGACTCAATGCAAGTAATCTGCAATAGATTTAATCATTGTTACTTTTAAGCTGTTCAAGCTAGTCGATTCAAACTCTAATAATCAGCCATCAAACTAAATGTTCATATTTTGAAAGGTGAAACATACAGAACAAAAAAGAAATTACAAAGTCGTTTCGGCAGCATTACGAAGTATTTTCTAACACAGATAAAGATTTCTTTTTTGAAAGCACTCTCAATTAAGCTGTATTTTATAAATGAGATAGGTTTATTTGAGAACTAATCCCGAAAATGCCATTTCACAAGAGAACGTCTTACTTATCTCCTGTGTAGGTCGAAATGCGCCACATTTAAAGCAATATTTGCGTTCATATTTCTTTCGTGTGGAAAGGTGCACAACAATGGGGTATTTTCCAACGTAGTTGCTAGCGTGTTTACAGTCTGTGTTATCTAAGTTAATGCATGCCAAGATTAGATAGAAATCGCTTCGTTTATTTCTTTTGTTTTAGTAATCACGTGTTGAGTTTAAAAAAAATGACTATCATATAAGTTTACTGTTGATAAAGGCAATTAATAATGTAAAAGTGATTAATGCATTTTTAAGTAATCGAAATATGTATATACATATTTGTGACAATGTTTAAAATAAAAGTTTTAGATCTTAGAAAGGCTTATTTCTTAAGCAGTGTGCTTACATATTTTTTCATAAACCTGATGGCCTTTGATATGAGCGATTATAATCTCGGTAATGGCAATAATTAAGTCACCTAAACAAATTTCATTTTAAACCTTCTATATATAAACTAATATAAACCACTTTCGTAGAATTTCAGATACGGTTTTCGATCTTCTCATTGCATTCACTTTTTTTTCACGCAAATAACGCACAAAACTATGCATTTTTATTCGTTTATACATTTTCTGCGTGCATCGGAAATCCTCTATCATCGGAGCAGCCAGTTGGGGAATCATCAGTTAATCTTTCTTCCGTGATGAAATCAACAAACCAGACAGGGCCATACATCCTGCCCAAGTAGAGGAAACTTATCGCAGAAGAATCTGATGTCACTTGCGCGATTGGCAAATGTAAAATTTTAGCAAACACTCATCTTTCCAAAATTGTTATTGATGTCAGAAGTGCTAAACTGTACACTGCTCAACTGACGCAAACACACTACGTGTCCTCAAACAATTAAAATCTTTTGATTAAAATAAGCCCGGAAGTGTTTTTTACCTATGAGTAAGAATGAGTCGCTGGGAAACCAGAAGATTTAATAATATGAATATGTCTAGCAGTATATCCTTAATTTCTTTCCGAGGCATGTATGTATCTGGGTTCACGAAACTGTGAAAAAGGGTGATTGTACATAAGTAGGCTATAATGCTGCCGAAAGTTTTCTCAACGCGATCAAGTTTTAACAGTGGTCGAGGTCCCTTAACCCTCAATTTACCACATGGCTTCATTAATTTAACTGTTGGCCTACATCGTGCATATAAACAAGTTGTCATAATCATACTTCAAGGTCATCTTCTTGTCATAGCCACGTTTAAATGCAAACATGAAGTGTTTACTGGTTTTGCTGAATACAGGATCCAGCGATTGTATTCGGTTTGTGAATGACTTCCAAAGAACTGTGGTCGATAAGGTTGCCGAAATTTCGTTTTCTGGAGCGTGTAATTCAATAACTGAACCACTACACGAAGAACAACCAAAACGGCGATATTTATAAGAATTACACCTGCTGGAGAAGTCACAGCAAGAATTAGGTGCCAGAAAGTAGATCCGATAAAAACATATTTACGCATACATAACAACGGTTTTTACCACAGAAGCCGTGAGATTCCAATTATGAAGTATCGTTTATAAAACGTTGTATTAATTATCACCAGTCGTGTATCTGGACACATAAAGAGCTTAAGAGCTTAATGCAGATAAGGTATTTTTGTCTTATTTGTTTGAATAACTTAACGTCAAATAAACATCTTACTTTTGAATTACTTTTTCAGTTTATTTATTACTCCTTCTAATAGAGGAGACCCACAGATTATTCAGAACCTTCATTCACCCACGCTTCATTTATTTTAATGTTCATAAAGTTCCACCACTGAAATCTACCGTCAGCTAACTAAACTCAGTCCACAGTTCCATAGCCATATTTACTGTTATTATCAATAACAAAACTATTACACAAATTTTTATTAAATGTGATAGTGGATAGTCAACACTAAAACGCTGTCGATCCAATATAATTTTGATGTCTACCGGTCCAACATAATCACTAATGTTATTATCAATAACAAAACTATTAAACAAATTTTTATTAAATGTGGTAGTGGATAGTCAACACTAAAACGTTGTCGATCCAATATAATTTCGATGTCTACCGGTCCAACATAATCACTATATTTAATAAGTCTTAAATAAACACTGAAAATTTTCTAGAAGTTTTAAAGTGAGCTAAACTTTTAAGATCTACAAATTTTGATTACTTTCTTCGAAATAATTTACATTTAACGAAGTAAGAGAAACGGATATAAAGTGTAATATCTGCTGATTATCCTTCATTGGGATCGCGAGTTCCAATCCCGATTGAGGTACTGATATCTGTCGACTTCTTTCAGTGATTTAGTGTGATGACAGTCTAGATAAATTACGACTATATGATGGATTATCTAAAGAGATTTAGAGCTGCACATGTATTTTGAAGATCTGTAGTCTCAAAGTCCAACTGATAACATTCTTTGCAGCACAGAATGAAAAGTGATAGGCGATAACTGATAAGTGATAAGTTACATAAGTTACGTCCTAACCTGGCACATTGCAGAAGCTTGGAGACTGGCTCTACCTTCTGTTGCCTACATAATCAGAAGACAAGAACTACCACGGAAGAAGTGTTACCATGGCTACCGAGATTGGGTAAGCGAATCACAGTGTACGATAAATTTCGTCATCGAGTGATGATTTAAGTTTCAGATATTATACATAAATTTTAAGAATTTGTGCAGAGAGTAAAATTCTGGCGCGAGTGCTCTATTATTTCCTCTAAATTTTCAACTCGTAACGAAATTTTTTTATATTTTCTGTCATAAATATGAAGACTGATGAGCACGATCCAAAGGTTCTAGTATTAATTACCTGGAAACCCGTGGGAAAAGTGTATAATTTCTCTCTGTAACTTTTGTCAAAAACGCTTTTATTCCTACAAATATTTATAAAATTTGTGGATTGTATCGCGAAATCCCCGTTTGACTGGTGGTCCCTGAGAAGACCCAGAGACTCCCTTTTTATAATATCATAAAAATAGAAATAACTTTGAAATATAATAGAGAATTTATATTATTTATAAGACACAATAAGCTACTCAACAACTAAACAGACTTTGGTCTGAAGTGATGTCAACCAGAATAACTTCATGAAAATTCAGTTCCTACCTCAAAGAAAACACAACGCGTCTCCATTACAATGACCAACCTCTTCTTTAAACTTTGATTCTCCTCTTTATCAACCACCAGCTTCATTTTTTCTTCTCGTCTACAATCCTTCCTCTTTCTTAACATTCTCTCTTTCCGCTGCCTTTTTATTCGCAATGATCATCTTCAAAGTTCCGACCCGCAGAGTGTAGTAAGCTATGTTTATTGTGAAATACATGAATGTAATATTTCAGATCTATTGTTATAACGCCACCACACAAACCAAGCTACTTACACAACCCAGGAATCGAACCAATATCCGCACTGACAGTTGGACAATTGGTTGACATCGCAGCCGACAAATGGCCGGACAAGGAAGCAATCGTGTCCGTCTTTCAAGGACACCGTTACACTTTTGCAGAAGTCCGGGAAAAGGTAAAGTGACTACACACAGATTATTTATTTTTGGTCTTCCTTGAGAGGTTAATACTCACTTGATCAAGAAACTCTTCATAATTACCTTCAAAATATACCGCCCACACAACAAACTACATCTTCAGTAAATATCAATCACGCTCAGCGAAATAAACAAAACCAATAAAGTTTAAATCATGTACAGATCTAACATAAACCAATAAATTTGGCTGAATTCAACAAGGGATAATCCAGCGCCCAGTCATAATTACTAATCGTGTCTCATGGACCGCTCAGAGACACGTTTTCCTTACCTGAAGACGAACACAGAACCATCCTTCGTAACTCTGAATATAATTTTATCGAGACAAAATGTTCGAAGACATTACCCATGTCGAGATTAGTTTATTATCCATTGTTCTAAAATCGAATTCTTTAGAACTTCCAAGTTCATCATCTTATATTCATTAAATCTGTATACGTTTTGAAGTCTCAAAAATGTTTTATCATAAAGATTACTGGTGGTGAATTTATATCTGATTTCAGACGGATAATCTTGCCGCGGGACTCACGCAATTGGGGCTAAAACCCGGGGACCGACTGGGAATATGGGGCCCGAATTCTACACAATGGTACATCACCAGACTGGCTGCAGACAGAGGTGGATTCATAGCGGTAAGTCTCTCTCGGCAATTTGAAACCCGTTATTGGTTCTGTAGCAAATGAAATAAAAATAACGCATAATTCAATTATTTACAACTGGTCTTTGATCTGCTCGAGACGGATGGGAGGTAAAGAGTACGTTTGAGGAAATATAAGTCAGCCATGATGTCCGTTCCAGCAGAAGACATTTACAAACATGGCGAAGATACGAAAATTGAAGTTAATTACGTCAAAATCAACGCAGTCGAAATCTGTCAATGAAAATTATACACACAATTCCTCGTATCTATATTAGATCATTTGCAGCTTTGAAAAGGTTAACATGTAAAAATGTGTGGAAAATTGTTACTTAAGAAAGAAAATTTTAAACCTCGACTACCACGACACTGTGTTACAGGTTCATATCGACCCCATGTACCAACCACCTCAACTGTTGCATGCACTCACAAAAGTGGGGGTGAAACTCCTCGTCTGTCCGGGGGACTCTTTCTACGAGAGGCTTCGAGTTATCGTTCCGGAATTGGATAACTACCCGGAATCAGGGGCTGAACTTTCCAGCGCCAAAGTTCCATCACTCAAATCACTCGTCGTTATAAGCGACAAGCAATACCGGTAAGTACTGAAATCTGAAATTCATTGTCTCGAAATGCGCCATTCACTGTCCGTGTCGCTGAATTATTGTGCGTACAATTGAGGACTTTACCAATAAAAGATAATGCAGTATTTTAAATAAGTTCCTTCCCTTTACAGAATCCGAATATTATTACCGTCCTCGCAACAGATTGCCACTTGGCTCTGCCCTGAACCAGATTCGTTCAGTCCATATCCTACCATATTTCTTAAAATCCATTTTAATATTATTCTCCTATCTACATGCAGACCTTCGAAGTGGTTTATTTCCTTCAGGTTTATCAACTTTATTTGATCAACTAATAATAATATCTGGCAAAGAGTACAAATTACAGAGCTTGTCATTATCAGAAATATATTATTCCTTCCCTTATTTATCGTTGAATTTAATTACAAACTGAATAATTTGGAAACAAAAACATAAAATATGTAAATACAAGGAAGTAGTCAGCTGTCGAAGGATAAAAATACTTAAGATTATTGAACAGATCTTCCAATTTTAAATACTTTCACTTCGAACTATAATTTAAACTGCGATTTACATTAAAATTTATTTGAATAAAGGAAGCAATGAAAGATTAATACTAAAACCAGAAAAAAAGTATTCTACTTAAGTAAGATGGAATTGTATCTGTAACCGTCCTTTCACTCCAAACTCTCCATCAGGACGCCCGGCTGGTTACAAGGGGTTTTGTGTTGGGTTTCGTTTGGTAGCTCAGGGCATGGACTCTTGCCTTCAAGGAATATACGGGTTGGTGAAGGGGGGTTTCGGGATCAACTTGCGAGGCAGTGGAATAAGAGGGGATGTCGTTCAGTTATAAATTGTGTATTCGTTCACTTTCATCAGGCACGTTTATTAATTTCGTACTTTCCCTCGCCGAGTGCAGGACTACTCGCCGCCGAGACTAAAGCGTAAGTGAGTTTTTGGAAGCCCCTTGCTGGACGCACACCGCGTTCAGCAAGACTCCCCCAAGACTTTTGAATCTCAAGAGAGTGTTCTCATTGGCTGAGTGGTTCATCACCTTAACCTTACAATTTTCCCGCCGATAGCTTATTTTAAACCCATTGGTGGTTAGTGACGTGATTTTATCCTAAGTCTTTTAACGGCTGAAACACATCTGGAAGAGCTTACCCATCCCACCAAGTCGAGCCACCGATCATAAAATCACCTATTCACACAGTCACGTAGCTGGCGCCAGGCAGTCGCCCGGTGGAACAAACAAGTCTCCC